TAACTTATGTTGTGTTATCCCTAACAATGCACGACTGTTAGTTGCTACAAGCGAAATAAGAACTACGACAATTACACGGATCGAAGCCTTAATCTAGCAATTAACATGCAACCCTCAACTTAGGTGATCAAGCTAAATTAAAGAACACATATTATGACATGAAACTAGAATAACACAATCAATTTTATACGACGAGTAAAACAAAATAAAATCGCATTAATCAAACATAGTCATCGAGGGTTCAACGTCCCTAGAACCGAAATAATGTTTAGCTACTCATAGCTAAATGATCAAAAGAAAAACTAATATCCATTGTCTTCAACAAAAATAGAATAAAATAAATAAATCACAAGACAAACTCCCTTAATCCTTAATGAATCACACGGCCAAACTGAAATCTCCCAACAAATAAAATGAATTTGATCTCCCCTGTCCACTCTCTGTTCATGTCCAATTAATTCCCCGCATGAGTCAACCACTCACAAGAGTATTCAGAATCCTTCCTCCATAAAACTCTCATATTCTTCTAATTAATTCCTCTTTTCCAAATTAAGAGTCCAGCCACCTTTAAACTCCTCTTGCCGAATTAATTCTATCGCATAAGTCCACATAAGCTTAGGAGATTAATTCCTACTCAACTGCCACCTCATCCATGCCACACAGCAAATGGGCGTATTAACTGCAAAAAAATGCAATATTCGAGTATTGGTGTATGTCCGTTCACAAAATAAAATACGTGAGAAAACTTGAATAATACAATAAAATCAAATACTCAAATATATAAATTAAACCACAAAATAATACAAGTTTTCTCACTTATCAATGGCACGTGGTACGTGAAGTGAATAAGTTTCACCCGGGCTCCTTCAACTCAAACCGGCCTCCGCACCTGCAGAACCCAACGCCGGGGGTGGCCCCGGCGTCGGGCCTCTGATGCCTAAGTCAGTGCTCAGATCAAGAGAGAGAAAGTGTAGTAATGGAATCATCAGAGAGTGAGAATGAGGTACCTTGGCCCCCTTTTATAGGGGGGGTGTACCTTTGTGAGCTCAAGTTGGGCTTGGCCCATATCGTGGTGCTTTATCCATACGTGGGCTTGTCTCCCAATATATATTCATTTTCTCCATTAAACCGGGTGTAGTATAATATCATATATCATCTAGTCCCCCCCACTCTGGTCGAGTAAGCATAACTCGATCCAAGAGTGAAATGCCTCTTCGAGCTGTTTTCTTCAACTTGCCACTAAGATCGAGAATTGAAAGTCGAATGACCATTGAATAACCACTGAAATATCTTCCAAATGAGCTTTGAGATCTCAAGATCGAAAACCGAAAGACCACGGAGGTCGTAAACCGAAAGATTTGTCAATAAGGACAAGAACCTAATGACCTGACACTGAGGTCGAACACCGGAAGTCGAACGTCAACTGAAGTCGAAAACTAAATGATATGTTGTTCAGGTCGAAAACCGAGAATCGAGACCGCTGAGGTCGAAAACCGAGAATCGAGACCGCTGAGGTCGAAAACTGAGAGTCGAGACCGTTGAGGTCGAAAACCGAGAATTCATACTACTGAGGTCGAAAATCGAGAGTCGAGACCATTGAGGTCGAAAACTGAAAATCGAGACTGCTCAGGTAAAAAACCGAGAGTCGAGACCGTTGAGGTCAAAAAACGAGAATCGAGACCGCTGAGGTTGAAAACCAAGCACTGAGTAATCGAGAGACCGCTGAGGTCAAAAACTGAGAATCGAGACCGCTGAGGTCAAAAACCGAGAGTCGAGACCGTTGAGGTCGAAAACTGAGAGTCGAGACTGCTGAGGTCGAAAACCGAGAGTCGAGACCGCTGAGGTCGAAAATCTAGAATCGAGACCGCAAGAGGTCGAAAACTGAGAGTCGAGACCGCAGAGGTCGAAAACTGAGAGTCGAGACCGTTGAGGTCGAAAACCGAGAGTCGAGACCGTTGAGGTCGAAAACCGAGAGTCGAGAGACCGTTGACCGAAGTCTTGAATTTGAAAATTTGAATTTACGTCTGTTGTGTTTCGATCACCATGTTCGATGTTCGAGCTCCCTTATACCACCTCGTCCTATCACCCCTCAGTTCAAAGTTTAAGATTCAAGCCTGTTGTATATTCCTTTGAAAAATAAATCAACCACCAACATGCTCAAGCCGTAATGAATATACTCGACCCGCCACTGAAGTCGAAAAATCAATTCGACAGAATCATAATCAAATAAAGCGCAATCAACCTGCTCAAGCCATAATGAATATACTCGACCCGCCATTGGAGTCGAAAAATCAATTCGACAAACCAAAATCAACAAACAACCTGCTCGAGCAAAAATGAATATACTTGACCCGCCACTGGGGTCAAAAAATTAATTCGATAAACCAGAATCAACAAACAACCTGCTCGAGCAAACATGAATATACCTGACTCGCCACTGGGGTCGAAAAACGATTTCAATAAATCAGAATCAACAGTCAACCTGCTCGAGCAAAAATGAATACACCTGACGCCACTGGGGTCGAAAAACAATTTTGATAAACCAAAATCAACAATCAACCTGCTGGAGCAAAAATGAATACATCTGACCCGCCACTGGGGTCGAAATCACAAATACAACAAAACCAAACTAAATAAAACCACCCATCTGCTCAAATTACCCATAACGAACTTGGTCGACCTACCACTGAGGTCAGAGGCATAAATAGCACGAAACCAAATCAAATAAATCTGTTAGCCGACACTAGGATCGACTACTCAGCCCGGGGACCTTAGTCATGGTGAATTTTGTCTTCTCTCAACCTGCCACTAGGTTAGGTACATGATAACAAACCAATATAATCAAGAAGAAATCATCGACCTGCCTCCGAGGTCTGCTCGAGCTATCCATGTCTTCACGACCCAACACTAGGATCGACCACCCATCCCGGAGGCCTTATTCATGGTGGATTTTATCTTCTCTCAACCTGCCACTAGGTTAGGAACAAATGTACAATGATAACAAACCAAATACAATCAAGAAGAAATCATCGACCTGCCTCCGAGGTCTGCTCGAACTATCCGCGTCTTCACGACCCAACACTAGGATCGACCATCCAGCCCGGAG